AAATATACTTCAAAAAAACTGGAAATAGTGAGTTAAAATGATGATCAAACAAGGAATATTATCAATCACTATTTACTGTTAACTATATAGAATTCATGGAAAAATGGCAAACGAGATTTAGTAAATAAGGAGTGATATTTAACTAAGAAACATGAAAAACATTCATGTTATGAAAAGGAAAGTAAACATAAAGTCATTTTTGCTTGGGAAAGATTCATGAGAGTTTCTACTTTTTAGTTCTACATTTCCAAAACAAAAAAGGAAGAAAGAACACCGATAGTAAGAGATGTGGAATTAAGATCTCCTGTAGTTATTTGTTGAGCTGCATGAGTCTTAACCATTTGATATAGTAATTACATTAAGTAGGAAAGTGAGGAAGTAATTTATATGAAAAAAATAATGAAGAAAATGTGAGTAAGTGAAAAAAAAGAACACACCTCAAAGTTTTAAGCGAAATATAGTGTTGATATTCTACTCTCTGAATGCAAACTTGCTCATATAACAGGGCACCTATTATTCTATCCTATTTAAAAAATCCATAGATGAAAAGGTTTTGAGCTAATGGAATGTGAAGTTGTGAAGATAAGGAAAAAGAAAAGAAAAGGAAAAGAGGGTGAAAGTCTTCTTGAGATACCAGGTGGTATTGAGAAGAGGAAGAATGAGTAAATTTATTATATATGAAGACGAGAAGAATAAAAAAGGAAGAAATAGAATTGGTAGAGAAAAGGAATGTGGGGTTTGTTTGTAGCTTAATTTTGCATCTTCCGTTATCCCCTAACTTGTAGTTCTTCCAGAGAAATGAAGAAAGAAAAGAAACAGTTTGGATTTAGTCAACAGACCTATTTATTTGTTTTGTTGAGATGGCATATAATGAGACATGTTAGCCTCCATTTCCTCTTCTTTCACTCATTTTATTGGTTGTTCCTCAAAGGCTAGATTACCAACACAAAACTTTCAATTTTGATCCTCTTCATTCTTATCAACTTTTTCAATTTGGATCTTCGAATAATACTTACATGATAGTCATGTTATAAATAAATAAATAAATAACTAAAATACGTAAATAACTTGCAATACACATAATTATTTAGTGTTCTATACAAGCATGTTAGACTAATTTCAATCCAAATAACCAACCAAATTCAACAAATCGTACATTTTGGCCTAAATAAACAACATGATAGACAACCTCAATTGAGAAACTTAATTCATTTTATCTCTTTTTGAAAAAAAAAATGAAGATTTGGTTCTAAATAGGATCAGGATTTTGCAAGTCCTTTGATTTTTTTAGCATTAAATAAAGGTTAGGCATGTGAAAAAAATTGGTGAAAACTTGAACTTGGAGAAAAGCTTAGCAACCAAATATTAGGGAAAGGAAAAAGAAATATGAAACTGAAAATGGGTTTTCTGTATGTAACAATAATGGACATATGGTATCCTTCTTTTTCATTGATTTGGTTTCTTTCCAACAAATCTAGTCATCAAAATCTGGGTTTCGGGGTTTCAGATTAATTTGTGTTGGATATTTAGATGGGTAAAATCTGGATTTCAGATTATTTTGTGTTGGATCTTTACAACGGGTTAACAATAAAAGAATTTTTATAAAATGAGATATGAATTAATAGTATAAAAGAATACGAAGTTATCTTCAAAAAAAAAAAACTTTAAAATATTATGTTATGAATCTTTTTACTCAATTTTTTATTTTCTATTTTCATGCAACAAAAGGTTTCAAATTTATATTTAAATTTTTAATCCTTTACAAGAATACGACGTTATCTTCAATAAAAAAAACTTTAAAATATTACGTTACAAATATTTTTACTCAATTTTCTTATTTTTATACAACATAGGATTTCAAACTTATATTTAAATTGTTAATCCTTTACACATTAAATGCTTCATTTTTTTAATAATAAGTACAAATATTTAAAAATAAAAATGTTTTCATTTATTTAAATATAAAATCTAAGATCACATTTATTTATGTGTTTTATTTTTAAATAATATACATATAGTTTATTATGTTAAAAAAACAGAGAAAATATCGCAAAAAAAGATAAAGTTTTAAAAAATATATACATCATGTGTTAAAAATTGGATCAGTTAAAAAATAAAAAATGGTGGGTTACTTATTGAACTAATATATTAATAGTTACTTATATTGATATTCATAGTTACGCATTGAGCTAAAATATTAGTAGTTACTTATTGAACCAATAGATCAATATAAATTGTACAAAATGATGTGTATTAAATATATAGAAGTTATACATAAGATTATAGTATACAAATAAAATCTAGGGTTATTCTGGACAGTTATTTGACTCACAAACCCATTGGTTTTAATCCTACATAGTAAATGTTGTTTAGTACTTGGTATTATTTGGTTTGTAGCATATGCTGAGGATGTTCAAAAGTTTAACTTCATATTTGTTCCTATGAAACACAGGAACACATGATAAAAAAAGTAGCTTATATTTTCCAAGATATAATCACTCATTATTTGTCATGATTTTACGAGTTATGAATTGACTTAAGTATGAAGTGCTTTTGACTCTTCAGAAGCTAAGAGGAAAAAAAAAAAATCAGAAATATATTGGTTGAAGGTGGAGCAAAGCTTTCTCTTGATCATATCAAGCTTTTAAGTTACGTCAGATGTTGAAATTAAACTCTACAAAGCTCTCACACAATTGTGAATGTTATCTTTTTAACTTGCAAAGAGACTTGGTTGATGAATCCTGGGCACTATTTTTCATGAGTGAATGTTACACAAAATTCAATCAATGGTTTCACAATGAATAATTAATCCAATTAATCTACGTCATATGCATAAAGATTTTATATAACTTATTCAAAAATACAAATAATTTGGTATTAATAAAAATAATTATCCAAAGTTTAATATTGACCATCTTACACAAGATGGTCAAAACTTTGACCAATTGCTTATTTTCATTTTTTGATTTTCAATGACTTGAGATGTAGGGAACTAAGTACGTCATTTTGATTAGTCAACATTTAAGAATTAATATTTATAAAATAACCAATTTCAACAATATTCATGTAAGGCAATAGTTTTTCTTTCTCATTTATGAAAGAGAAAAAAAGCCACTAACTTCTATTTTTCTTTTTAATGTTTTTTTTATTTCTATATAAATTAATATTTTTCGTGCTTCATCTAAATCTAAAATCTTCAATTATTGTAATAGCAAATTCTTTGTTGGTAAAATACTAGTAAAATGTTGTTGAACAGTCAAATTTGTCTTCGCTTGGAATAAAAGGTTAAATAGAAGAAAAGTGTTGGCATTGCTATCTCTTCAAAGGTTGACTTTGACCATATGGCACTTTACAATTTGCAATCAAATTTTTACTTTATACTAATTAGCTAATATTCACTAAGTGTAATGTTTAGTTTAACTAATTAGAAAAAAAACTTGTGGATTATTGAATAATTATTATAAAAAATTTAAATTTATTATATTTATCCATCTATAATTCAACAAGAATATACTTTTTTATACTATCATTGTATTTGAATTAAAGTTAAAATTATGATAATATCAATCAACTACAGTTCAGAATGAAATATTTTATGTTTGCTAAAAGTAATAAGATATTATTATCGTAGCTAAAATTGTTAGACCAACTTTAAAAGTTTACATGTTTTTATTTTTTTTCAATAATTCCTTTCATACACACAATTAAAGAAATATTTTTCTTAACAACGCTTCTTTTGATACTTAGGATAAGAAAATCAAATTTTATGTTGGTGCTGATAGAGCTAGCTTTCTAATCTAGAAGTGACCAATAATTTTTTTTTATTTGATAAATATGCAAATATAGAAAATATGTGAAATATTTATAATTATGAGTTTTAGAACTATTCGAGAATAAAGCTAGAAAATGAATTCATATAAAATGAGATAATATTTGTTGTTTTATCTCAATATGGTAATTTCACATCACGATATTGAAATATTTTTTATAAAATAAAAAAATCTATAAGTAGACTACAATAAAAAAAATCACTAATTGTCTTAAATAAAATAAAAAAATTAATACGAAAATAAATAATACTTAAATATTATTGTTTTACTATAAAAATTCTTTAATAAAATAATGACCCTGTTCTATATATAGGTAGAGTAGGAATCTGGATGCTGATATTTCAAATTTCAGTGGTTACACGTGCTTTCTGGATATTCAATAATAAAAAGGAAAAAAAAAAAAAAAAAGAGAATTCCGTGTATATCAAATATTAGACGGTCTCTTTTTCGGAAAATTATTTTGGTATGTTAAGAATAAAATTATTGTAAAAAAATTATATGAATAATTAAAACTGAAAAATTCTAGAACTTGTATGATTGCTTAAAAATATGTATGTTTTCTAAAATTAATCTAGCTTTTTATTCTAAAATTAATAACTAATATTTATTTATTCTAACTTTCATAAAAGAAATATTTTTTAATAATATATAATATTTAAAATGAGAAATAAATTTTAGTAGATATATGCATGTTACTTTTTAGGATAAAATAAAAACTAGTATGCAAAACAAAACTCATTCTATGAATATTTAACAGAATTATATTCTATATGCAAGACTCGGATTTGAAAAACATATTTTAAAAATTGTAATTAAAAAAAAAGATAATAAGTTAATAATTAAATATATTCTTATTTTTTACTTAAAAAATTAATAGCTTTTAATTAATATTTAACATAGCGTTGTATATGCTTTAGATATATTTATTGTTATTATTATAAATAATTTATATTTTAAAAAATATTAATTCTCCCGACTTTTTAATAAAAGTAATTTTTTATTTATAAATTATTTACAGAAAAAAAGGTAAATTCTAAAAAAAAAATAAAGCAAATATTTTTTATTGATATAATAACAGGGAATATTACAAATAATAAAATAAAGAAGATGGTGAGAAAAAGTGGAAGCCAATGAAGGTGGAGAGAAAGGTATCTATTCTATTGGAGTGAAATGGCGTGTTTCTTTGCGTTAATTGACACGGAAGTGGAACAAAGACTGGAGGTAAGAGTAGACTCAGTCAATTGTAAATTTCATAAAAATCCAAACTCATCATCATTCTTTCTAGCCCTGAACTTCCCTTCGCATCCAATAATGTTATTATTTTTTAGTTTAACTAAATAATTTTTATTTATTTATTTTCATTTTCAGTTTGTTTAAACTTCTTTGCCGTACCACAAAGTGGTGGGTGTGGTAGGTATTCCTGTGGATGCACAGTGCAGACTGAACAAACAAACACAGCGAAGATCCCTATGAAAATTGTTTCGATTTCTGGATCAAGCTCCAATTTTGAAGACAACCCAGGTCAGATGACATGCCATGTTTTCGTTCCCCACTATGCCTCTTCTCGCTTTTCTATGCTTCATTCTCCAAACCCATGTTTTTCGCTTTCTTAGTTCCCCTTTTGTTTCTCTCTTGGATTCGCTATAACTCTTCCTGATTTGTGTGCTTTCAGATGCCCTTTTCCCCCAATTGAAGGAAAACCCATCCATTCAACTCAGACTTGTTTATCCATTAAGAAAGGAATCTGCTTGAATTTAGAGGTGGGAATTGGGGAGAGGTGGGATATGGAACAGGGAGAGGATCAATTTTATGATACTCGCGAGGAATTGTGTTCTGTCTCTGATGGAGGTTCGGATTATTCAGAATCAGATGAATCTAGTTCTGGTAATAACGGACATGTTACTAGGCACAAGGTTTGGGCAAAAGGGCTTGAAAGTGTTGACCGAAGACGCCTCAATTTCTTGAGATGGATGGGTTTGGAGTCTGATTTGAATTATTCAATGAAGGGAGAGGAGTTGCAAGATCGACCTTGTGGGATTGACCGAATCACTGCAACAAGTGGGGCGGTGTTGAGGACTTCTCTTACTGTTGATGAGGGTCTTCCCTCAATCTCAAACCATATTGTGTTGGATTCCTTGTCTGGTGAGGCTTCCGGTTCCCAAGAAAATAGGGAGACTTTGGCTTGTATGATAAGGAATTTGGATGATGGAACACAGTATATTGTTGATAAGCTGGGTCAGGATGGAACTCTTAGTACACTGCGTGTTTTGGGTTCGAACCAATCGATTAGCTTGGAGGAGTTTCAGAGAAATATTGGGCCTTCATCGAAGGTTCGCAGACATTTGCAGAGAGATGCAGAAAACACAAGGTTGTTGGGAATTGGAAAAAGAAAAATGAAGAGGGGATGGCTAAGGAAACTGGATTCTATTTCTTGTTTTGTTCATAATCACGGGCTTGATGAAACTAAATGCAAAGACTGTGATTCAGTGGATAGAAGTGGGATACAAAGAGTTCGAGTTCATTCTTATAAGAAGCGGTTTAAGGAGCTTTCCTCCCTTTACACTGAGCAGGAGTTTAAAGCACATAAGGGTGTTATTTTGACAATGAAGTTCAGTCTTGATGGAAAATATCTGGCTAGTGGTGGTGAAGATGGCATTGTACGTGTATGGAAGGTGGTTGAGGATGAGAGATCAAGTGAACTTGACATTCTGGACAATGATCCGTCAAATATATATTTCAAAATAAATAATTTTTCTTGTGTTGCTCCCCTTGGTGTAGATAAAGAGAAATTAGTTAAAACAGAGAAGTTGAGGAGATCCTCTGAAGCAACTTGTGTGATTCTCCCACCGAGGACCTTCCGCATATCGGCAAAACCTATGCATGAGTTCCAAGGGCACAGTGGTGACATTTTGGACCTTGCTTGGTCGAAAAGAGGGGTTAGTTTCCCCATATATAAAAAGCAAGCTATTATTCGTCTTCTTATATTTTGCGTTATCTTGAAACTTGCTTATCATTTAGTTTTCTATAAAATTGAACTTACTATTGTGTACATTCTTCTTTGAATGTTGCAGTTTCTACTGTCATCCTCTGTTGATAAGACAGTGCGCCTATGGCATGTGGGAATTGACAGATGTCTTAGAGCTTTCTCCCACAACAATTATGGTGAGCCTCTGTTGCCTGGCCATAGTTATGTATGTTGATACATGATTTGCATAATGTTAGTTGTTCTGAAATGTGTTCCTCTATATTTTTTAATTTTTGCTGAATAATAGTTTGTTACTTTTTGCCTTTGATGCAGTGACATGTGTCAATTTCAATCCCGTCAATGATAATTTTTTCATCAGTGGCTCAATTGATGGAAAAGTTCGCATCTGGGAAGTTGTTCACTGTAGGGTTAGTGATTACATTGATATCAGGGAGATAGTCACAGCTGTGTGCTTCCGCCCTGATGGAAAGGTCTGTTTCACTATACATGTAATTGTAAAACATTGTGGTAGGAAAATATCTTTTGTTTTGTTCCTAAAATTGTTTACTTCTTCTTCCAGGGCACAATTGTGGGTACCATGGCAGGCAATTGCCGTTTCTATGATATCCTAGGTATGAACATAGATGTTTAGAGTAGTGTTATATTTTAAATTAAGTCCTTTAGAACCATAATATATATGTATATATACTAGGGTGTTTCTCCTTTACTTAAGTGCTGATCTTCAAATTCACTGAATGTCTTTTGTGGATATAGAGTGGCATCTTCAACTATCAAATGCTCTCCACGTATTGTGATCATTAGCTAAACAGAGAAACAGAAATGGCTGCATGGAAGTATATTTAGGTTATTGGTTTGTTGGTTCATGTCTATTTTAGTGTGAGTGATTATTAGTTGTATATTGCTCTTTGTTCGGTATATGCATTGTTCTTAGGCCTTCGGGTCAAAATGACTGAGTAGCTCCATTATGTTGAGGATTGGGTATGGTCCTTGTTTCTAGATGTGCACTTATTCTTTACTCCTTTTTAAGGATTACATCCTTCTTCCTTTTTGTTATATTTTTCTCTCAGCCTTAATATATGTCTTATCTTTTAAAAAAATAAAATAAAATTATGGACCTACACTGGTTGACCAACTGAGGTCTATGTGCATATGGTCAAACTATGGATTCTGTTTGATTATTTTGATGTTATATTCTGCCTGTAGTATATAGAACAGAGTCCAAACTTAAATTATTGATCCCAAAAGTGATTATGACTAGCAGCTTCAAACAATCTTTATATTCTTTGCATTCACTTGTGTAGATAATCATCTGCAATTGGATGCTCAGTTGTGTTTACGTGGCAAAAAGAAGACATCGGGGAAAAGGATCACTAGCTTTCAGGTTGGTTACTCCTGTCACTCTTTTTCTGGCTTTGAATCTGCTTTTCTATGGCACCCTATACAAAATTATTGAATACTGATCATTAATCATATCATTTATGATTATTTTTGGCAGTTTTCACCGAGTGACCCAAGCAAATTATTGGTTGCTTCTGCTGATTCACATGTCTGTATACTTTCTGGAGTTGACATAATCTACAAATTCAAGGGTAGGTTTATACATGTTCTCAAATCCAAATTAGAGGTTTATATTACTAATCTGCATAAGGTTTGCATTAGGTATAAACTTCCTATTCAGATTGGAGAACAGTACCAAAAACACTCAAGGAGCTCCAATCCCATCTATGTTTCTTCCTTTTTAAGTATTAGAAACAAACATTCATACATTGTTGCATTAACGTATTAACGTACATTAATTAATACTTATCCCTCTTCTTTACCTGCAGGCCTAAGAAGTGCAGGTCAGATGTATGCATCCTTCACTACTGACGGGAAACATATAATCTCGGCTAGCGAGGATTCAAATGTATGTATCTGGAATTACACTGGCCATGATAGGAGTACCTCCAAAGCAAAGAAAATTTGGTCTTCAGAGAGTTTTCTCTCCCACAACGCAGCAATAGCTGTACCATGGTGTGGCATTGAGTCAATGCCAGGAACACTCTTATCCCCGTCGTTAGGAGATGATGCAAATCAAAGGTGTTCGCTGCCTTCACCTGATTGTTTCTTCTTGAGTCGGGGTTTTCTGTCAGAATTGATCCCAAAGGTTTCCGCAACATGGCCTGAGGAGACACTTGTGGACTCAAGTCAAACCCAAACTGTTGTTTCTCCTACAATGTGTAAATCAGAGTACAAGTTCTTGAGAAGTGCTTGCAAGGGAATGTCTAATTCCCACTTGTGGGGCCAAGTGATTGTGACAGCAGGATGGGATGGATACATAAGAGTGTACCAGAATTATGGATTACCTGTTCGTGGCTGAAAAAACCAAGGTTTGGGCTCATTTGTTGCAGCACTTTATGGTTAGTTGCTATGCCCACATAGCAACGGAGGGTTTTTGGATACAGTGGAATTTGCTACAATGCAAAGCTTCATTGTTTTCAAAGGTAGTATAGCAGCCAGGGCAATGCTTCAGTATCTGATTGGGGATTGCCTTCACGTGATAGTATTCTTTATACCAAGTCAATATCAATTATATGATTCTTTAATTTTTAAGGACTGTTAGTTAAGATAATTGTAAGTTTCAATTTTGCTGATGGTCCTGGTCGAAAGGTCGAAATGTAATTCATGATCATGTGTATATATATATATATATATATAGAGGATTGTATTCTATTTTAATTTATACAAGATTTTTTGTTTACAAAACCTGAATTCAGGAAATGCGTAATGATGCATGTTTAAACAGCCAAAATGAAATAAAATTACGTAAGATTATCTTTCTTCAAAATTACATTGAATACTCAAGTGCATTTTGAACTGTCATCCAAACATGTATTTTGTTGCCTGAAAGGTAGCAAATTGTAGCAATTGCTCTCTTATATTTACTGTTTTATATTTGATCGTTAGCTTATTTTTTATTTGAAAAAAGTTCATATAAAACAAAAATATCATCACTATAACTCAATGTGTATTGAAAGATGGAATAATTCTTCAAAAAGGACTCCGACAGGACGAATGGTTATGATGTTATAATGTGGATAAAATTTTGTCTCTAACACTAATCTCTGTCACAAAAACTTAAGGAACGATCTTGTCACCCTTTTGGCCTCAAAGCATTTGTAGTCTACATTTTTGTGTGCATCTGTGCTTAAAATTCTTGTGTTATAGTTGTTTCCCACTGCATAAATTAGGAGACAAATGTCAGTTCCATAAGATAAGCAGATAAATGTTAGTTGCATGTAATGTAATGGATGACACTGTTTTAAGCCACTGGTTTTACTCTCTATAAGGTAAAGTAGAAAAAGATGCCTGTGAATAAACATTGCCCTATTCTAAAAGTTTATGGTTTATCCTATTTTTCATGCCCACTTGGAAACTATAGTGGTAGTCATTGTTATTATGACTATGATTATTCGAATTAACGCAAAAACAGTGATACGCTACACAATTAACTTTGATGAATGCAGTGTCAACCAAATTGTAATTTTTGTTTAGAATGAACTCAAAAAATTGGAAGTAGATTTTATCTTGAGAACACCAAGAAGCATGTGTTTCCGTACGGGGCTATCTCTGCTTGCAGCTGGTGATGCAGTAATTAATTTTATAGACTTTATTCTTTAAATAAATGAGTTTAACATGATTTTAAAGTATGTTTCTTGATTAAAGGAGTTGAATGAGTCAAGTATAATTGAATTTGTTGAATGCATAAAATATATGAATGTGTAGATTTGAGACACGTTCTTTCAACAACTCAATCTTTATTTTTTTTTATTTTTAGGTGAAGTTCATGTACAAAGAACGCAGATTCAAACACATTTTTATTCTGATTATTATTGATTCAACTTTACAAGTTAAGTTGACCGGTTTGTGAATTAAATTGAATTTAAAACAACATCGTATATGTAAAACTCAAACTGACATAAATAAGATTTATTCTTGTTGGCTTGACTTCTATTATCAACAAATAAAAAATCATTATTGGTATAAATTCTTGTACAAAACAATAAGGTAATCATATATGATAGTTTAAAATTAAGTAATACAATGCAAAATTGTTTTATATGACTATTTTCTCTGAAGAATTTTAAACCCATATTTTGAATTACTTAAGTTAATTTTTATCATAGCAATTAAATATTGAAAAGAAAGAATATTGTAAAAGAATGAATTGCAATCCACAACAGCAGCACATAAATTAATGGCATTAATTAGCAAAGAAGATGAATAATGAAGTGGGTGAAACTGTGCATATACCATTCATCCACTCTCATTAATTTTGGTCCCTCCCTCATTATATTCCATCTTAACGGAATATAAAGCCATGAGAGTATTTTTTGTACCAATAAATTTGAGTCTAGCATAAAGTTAAGGGTTGACTTGTACTTCAGAAAAAAATAAAAAATAAAAATAATATATATATATATATATATATATATATATATATATATATATATATATATATATATATATACTATGATGTAATCGAAAGTTAAATATTATTTACACTTAATGTGTTTTAGGAAAATTATCAATAAATAAATAAATAAAATTTATATTTAAGTATAATAAAAAATGTGTTTTTCTAAATAAAATTGGAGATAATATTACCTCCGAAATTATGTATAATAATTAAATAATTTTACACTTATTAAAAATATTACTTCTGATAAATATAATTTGTTTGTAATATGTTTAGAAAATGATAACTAATATATTGTAATAATTTTTTAACTTATTGCAATAAACTATTTAATAAAAAATATAATATTAAATATATAAATTAATTAAGCATCTTTAACAAATATACTAAATATTTTTAAATAATTAAGTTTCTTAAAATATCCATTGATACAATCTATGTAAAACAGGACCATATGTTTTCTCTTCTGTTTGTTACGTGAAAAAAAAAGAACCCAACAAACAAAGGAGTGGGACAACTCAACTTAGGAGGAACCAACTCATACCACAGTGGGACACTTACCTTCATTTGTTTCAATTTTTTTAATAATAAAATAGCATATTGTTTCATTTTTTAATTTTAATTTTTTTTTTTATCATCCTAGTTTCCCTCTTCAAGATATTGTTTTCTCTTTACAACCTAAAATATTTGTCTCTTTATATAATTATATTCTCGATACAAAATCTCCACAATTTTCTTATTATTTAATAACTGTAAAAAATAATCAAATCGTACCTTAATTAACGATCACAATTTTAGTTACTTTACTTAGTTATTTACCAATTGCCGAAATTAATAATGTGTAGACAACACACAATACGAATAAATATCTAAGATAGGGCCATGGTTGGACCATAAAAATAAATGGGCCAGGAGAGGTCGATGGAAGGTATTGGTGCTATCATATCGTGTGGATAACGCGATCTGAATTGGTGCAGTCATTGGATAAAGTGCCAAGTCCAGCATAACATTATTTACCTACCACACAAGTTTTGAAAAATATTTAAATTCATTCATTTTAGTATTATTTTTTTATTTATAATTTATTCGCAAGTAGGGTTGTCAACATGGGTTCTAATCCGTAAGTCAACCCGGTTCACCACGAAGTTGAATTTGGCCGTTCGATTTTTTTTTTTCTACCGATTATGGGCTAAAAATGAACCATGCTCACTCAACCTACTGGGTTAAATGGATTTGAATCGGGTTATGGTGGGTTGACCTGCAACCCACCATTAATTTTAAATTTTAAATTTTAAAAATAATTATAATAACGTACTAACCTTAATTGATAATTTATTTTAAATTTTAAAACTAATTATAATACTTTAAGTAACCCTAATTGATGTTATCCTGCCTTACCTCTACCCTACTTTGTTGGTTGTTGCTACAAGTCAAACCTTCACTTAAACTTGTTATCAGTTGTTCGTTGCACCATTACATTTGTCGTCGCACTTTGGTCACTTCTCTTATTATCTTTCCACAGCACCACTACACCATGTCCATTGTATTGCTTTCAAATGTAAGAATTTGTTTCATAACCTAAATTATTGGATTGATGAATCTTTATTTGAAAATTATAGCATCTATACATTATTTGTTGTTTGATATTGATTTACACGTATATCACTTTAATATATGAACTTTTGACTTCTTTCTTTTAAATTAATTTACAATATGGAATCTGAAACAATAAATCAAAGTGTCAATGTAAATTGTATTGGTGATGATTTTATTATTAATGAAAAACCTAATGAGTCAATTTCAATTAATAACGAAGATACTGATGTTGAGAAAGAAAGCAAGAAAACATAAGTTTCTGAAGTTTCTATATAATTAAAAAAATATGGGTTAGTGAGTCAACTCACCTAACCCATCAACCCATGATGGGCTGAAATGGATTGTAAAATTTCTACTCAAGAAAAGTGAGTCGGGTTGAAATCACCTATTTTCAACTCAACTTAGTAGTGAGCTAACCCGCGTAAGTCGGGTTGACTCACTTTGACACTACTATCTCCGAAGTTACATCAATATTTGTATTTAAATAATATATTGTTTAACAAACTATTTCATTTTTGCTATTATACCTAGTATATGTGAAAAAAAAAATCTTATACAGTATTTTTAATATGAAGATAATACAATAATAAAGTAAGTTATTGCTTATAATTGTTTTTATTCACAAGCCAATTAAATTTATACAAAATTTAGTTTATATATTTATCTATTTCAAGTTAATCTTGGCTAAGGCACTTCATTCGCGAGTTGAATCGGACTAACTCATGGCTAAATCTTATCCAAAAGTAAAAGTTATGTCAAAACACTCGTAAGAAATAATATTTTGTATTAATTAGCTTATTTTCCATTTTAAGAATCTTAATTAGTCAAGATTTATTTATTTACTTATTTATTTTCTTAATATATTATTAACATCGTTTATGTTAAAAAATTTATTTTTTAGATAATAGTGTATAATTAAAATATAACGTGATATTAAAGGATAGCAATATTAAACGAAACAATGAATAAGGAAATTCATTAAAGTATTATGGGAAAATGCCATAAAAAAGTATGATGGATAAAAAGAAAAAAATAATAATGAGTCCTAAAGTGACACGAGAACGAATAATAAATTGAAAAGTTATAAAATGATGCATTGATAAAGTGTCAAAGATCACTCACCCACAAAAAATCTTTCCCATGCCAATTTTGTTCTGAATTCCCCCAAACCAACCCCATTACTTTTTCTTTTTACGATTTTTTATTTGTTTGTTTAGAGAAGATTTTCGTCAAAACCATCCACGTTTTAACTTAATCCATCTTCCAAAATATGAAATACCAGACCAACATTAAAAGTTGATGACTTAGTACTGGTATTTGCATCAAAAGTCTCAATCTCTCTTCTTATTTTAATTACATTATTTACAATGGACTTTAATCTATTCTGATTGTTAAACCTCTCATCAAATAATTTATTGGAACCAACGTCACCACTGTAGATGATAATACAAATCGAACGATTTTGGTAATGAACGCGTATACTTAAAAAGGCGTGTAAATATAATAAGCTGAGATAGTACGCAGATTGCTTAAATCGATATCATACATTTATACTTAAAGATTTCAATTTTTTTAAATAAGAAATTGTAGTTGCTCAAGTTAATATACACAAGTTTGTACAATAAAGAGAAATTAGAAAGAAATGGGGAAAGTGTATATGGATGACATGATAAAAGAAGAGAGAAAAAAACAGTATTACAAAAATAACTTTATTTTTGGTGTATCATTAACATCAACAACAATAATAGTAATATAAATAATTATCATGAAGACAATGCTATTAAACTTCATACTAATTAATATAAAAATTGTATTAAATTAATAGTAACATATCTCTTTAGATAATTAGTATTTTGTTCAAGAGTTTTTAAACATTATGAAATCATTGTTATTGGTGAAATGGTCCTAAATTGATTTGTAGAATGGCAGGACTCGTCCATGGATTGCTATGATTATGATTAGTTTAACGAAAAATCTGTTGCAAAATTATTTTCTGTTAAGAGTGGTGATATTTTTACAATCATAAATCATATAACCCTTTAAATAACTCATTTTATTAATATAATAATTTATAGAATGATTTAATAAAAATAAAAATAAAATAAAATTATTATTATAATATTAAAATAGAGTTATTTATTGAATTGGTATGAAATTGATTTTCAAATTATTATTTTCCTTTTCTTAAAAAGCACGCTCTCTCTTCCACGGAGCGCATGTTAGTAGGTCCCACGCAAATACCATGAGAGAAAGATACTCTTTGAAGAACAACCACCACATGGGGGAACCCGACCCCATGTTCTTGTTCTCCTTATTCAGTTGTTTTCTTCGATTCACAGGCCCTATTGTCCACTTATAATAAATCCAATGGAACTTTCTCGTATAATTTTGTATTATCCCCAGATACACAAGTACAGCTACATCTCAGAACAGAACAATAAATAAACAATATGTACAATTAGAGTTTTCCTGGCACTTTCATTTCTAATCTAGCTAAGATCCAAGAATAACATGGCCAAGCTCCATAATCATTGTATCATCATGGCAACCCAATCTAACTAGCATCTAAAGCATCATATTTTAGACTTTTGCTTGAACATTAAAATAAAAATCAGCAAGTTTCCTATTGTTTAGCCTAAGTGATGACCAAAATATTTAGTTATTTTACTACCCTAGATAGATATATAAAGATCATATATAAAACTGTGCAAAGTTAACCCTTCCTATCGTTATATTGACTCTATTAAGAGGGCAGAACAATATTAGGGTTGCTCTCTCTTTACCTATATTTTTTCCGTAAAATCATGTCATATCATATGATATATATTGCAGTGTCCCAAGAAACTTCAAAATTCAAGGTGCTTGAGTAGGTCAAATGCAGCTTTTGGACCCCTGGAAATCATGAATTCAGAAGTGGCCCATAACCTTGAGGCTTCAATTGAGTTGGATCCCAATTTTGAGGTTGAGGTTTCGTTGCAATCAGCAAAATACTTGCCGGAGATATTCAACAGCCTCGGATGAGTTGCCACGTAACATGTTGTAGCAGCTGCCTACATTTTTATTTGCATTGCAGTAAATCAGCACAAGAGGGTTAAATAATTAAACTACTTATTTACAACATTATATTTTTCCATTTATCTTCATTTGTCATTATCAAAAATATCTCTAGATTATGAAGAACGGACAAAATCGGCAATAATGAGTCATGATGCATCATTACACTACTTAGAATTTACATCGAATATATTTTACCTGAGGAATGGTCTTTAAGAGCTTGGAAGCCAAAAAGAACACTAAATCTGCAAAATTATTTTAAAACATAAAAGGAAAAATTCCAAAATCAATGACCATCATCGTACATAAAATAGAACCTAAACCTATCACCCAAAAAGGAGAACAAGGAAAAAAAAAAAGCACAGCAAGATTGGCTTGTTTGTTAGGTTCCAACCTGTGAGTAAACCCTCACGCTCTCTGGTGAGTCTGGTTCTCACAATCCCAGGATGAACACAGTTCACAGTCACGTTGGCCCCCATTTGCTGCAGAAATAATTTAATTTATTAATATTACCTTGTGCCAAACAAATAAAATATTATATAAACCAATCAAGTAAGTGGCAAGAACGGGGTTAAACGAATCCATTTCCTGTGAAAAACATGATTACTGAGTAGGGAAACAAACAAATGTGACTTTTTGAGATGGATAGGATCATAGACAGATATTGCCTTGCATGTGAATTAATTAAATATTTTAAAAGAGGAATGATTACGAACATAGCAAGTGTGTGCTACCTGGAGTCTACGTGCAAGCTCCTTAGTGTGGAAAACATTGGCGAGCTTGGAAAGAGCATAAGCACGTGTGGCGTCGTAATGGCTGGGGGACACAAGACAAATTTCAGTCCGAAGAAGCGTGCAATGTTTGCTAAGCATACATGCATCACATTCACATCATTTCAACTTGAATTGACTAGAATTTATTTTTAATTTAAGAAACTAAACATTATTGTCACAACTCACAACAACACACTCGTGTTGTTGTTGTTATTGCCACCTTTTATTGCGGCTTATAAGAGCCAGATACGAAATCGTATCGCCGGAAAACCACCCGTGGATGCTGGAAGACACGTTCACTATACGACCCTGCACTCCTGTCTCCTTCGCTGTTTCCACCATCGTCTTCACCAACAACTTTGTCAACAGAAAATGACCTAACAAAATCATTTCCTTCCTTCATTAATTAATCAATCTTACATTATTGTAATTAATTATTTCTCAATTAATGGCACAAGTACTTCTTTAATTTAATTAATCGTCAATTTAGTTAATTTCTCACCTAGGTAATTAGTGGCAAAGGTCATTTCAACTCCATCTTCAGATATAGCGTGTTCTTCCGCAAACTTTCCGGCGTTGTTTCTAATAGTCATTCAAATTCACAGATAAGAATCCTGACAATGATTTCAATTTTTTTTTCTTTTTTTTTTACATTAGATAAAAATAAATAAAGTGAAGTATGAGATGATTATAGTTTTCTATACATGAGAAGATGGAGAGGCAAACCGAGTGTGCGGAACTGGTTAACGAAGCTTCTAACAGAATTGAGAGAACTGAGATCAAGAGCCATAACAATGATCTCCGAATCAGGACACTCTGCAACTATACGCGCCTTTGCGTCATCCGCAGCTTTCATGCTACGCGCCGGCAGAATGAGCCTCGCTCCACGTTTCGCTAACACACGCGCTGTCTCAGCTCCGATTCCAGACGTAGCACCTGATAATATATAACATCATATGTAATTTTCATAATCAGCGATAAGACTACATTAACTATTCTAATTGGTTATGGAAATAATTTACCGGTGATGATGGCGGTGAAGGAGCGGAGATCGGCGCGGTTTTCGGTGACTTGTTCGGCGGTGGATTTGGAGCCGAAGCCGCTTGGACCGGCTGAGCCGAGAAGGTATTTAAGTGTGTCGAGCATGTTAGTGGTGAGAAATGAGATATATTAAGGGAGAGGTGATGGATTTGGAGTGGACGTTACTCTTGTTTTGAGCGAGCGAGCGAGCGAGTGAAGAGTTTTGAGTTTTGAGTTTGGTGGATGACGTTGAACAGTGGGAGTATAATATTGGGAAAATGAAATAAAATTGTTGTGGTGGTTCTTCTTATGACAGAGAAAGAGGAGAGTGTTTAGGACTTGACTTTGGTTTGTTCTGTAAAAAGGTATTACTCTTTTTCACTGTCAGGTTTTGCAGATGCTGCTGTTGCCGCTACTGCAATATACAGCTCTGCATTAATGTTAATGAAACGCTAACAGAGAGAGAGAGAGAGAGAGAGGAAAGAGGTTGGACGTACTTGGCGAGGAACAAAAAAAAAACAAAGAAAAGTGAAAGCGAAATGATAAAGGGAAAACGAAAAGAGGCTTGAGCGTGATACTGATACTGCCACGGGACAGATTGGTTAAATGGTACACACCACAGATGAAAAAAAAAAAGTATTATTTTAATATAATTAGTTTGAGTTAAAGTTAAGTATTTTTTTCTCTTAATCGACTTTTTTTAATCAAAATTTCAAAATAAATAATATTGTTTAACTTTATTTTATTTTTAAATGAAACATTCATGATCTAATAATATTATTTGAACATCCTTAAGATAAGACATTCTTCTAGAGAATATATCTTAATTTAAATTTTATCATATAATGATTTTAGAATTTTGATATATATCTTATTTTTAAGAAATTAGAGAGGGTATATTTTTTAATAATTATTTGTCAAGTAACTATTTGGAATGAGCTTTTGCTTTTGCGTGAAATGTGTGTGCCAGGGAAAGACACCGATGAGATATAGTGCTTTTTATTTCTTGGCACCACTCTAACCTTTGGTCACCATGGCTAATCTGGTTATTATTCTACCAATTATTTAAGAACCAAAGTCGTACCCGTACACTATTTTTATACCATAGATTATATAACCAGAGAAAAAGGAAACTTAAAAGGTAATAATGTATTAATAGATAAAGCGAAAAATATTATAAAAATCATAGCTGGTATTTAATTATGCGAAATCTTAACTTGTGTCTTTATACTACTAATTATAAAATTAATATAATAATTGAAGAAATGCACTCTTTTATAAACTCTTAAATGTATTTTCATATAAAGTTTTAATATGTATAAAAAAAAAAACACTATTTTCTTAGGCTCGCCCTTATCTATGGGTATCTTTTTTTTTTTCGCCACAGTGTGAATGAACAGAAGAGATAGGATAGGATACTGTGACTATCGCATTGACTTTTTCGTAATTAACGTCGACAATGCATGTTAAATCAATCCACTCGTCTTTCTTACACCATCATTCATTGCTTCTATTTCAAACAATTGCGAGGAGTAATATTTAAGAAATTAAAAACAAACTTGTTAAAAATAATGCTAAATCTTTATACTTCTAAAAAAAAATATCTTTAATTTCTTGTCGACTGTTTAAAGGGTAATGGAAAAAAAAGTTTATTTTTTTTACACATGTGATTGATTGAGAGTACAATAGGAATTAAATCAAGAAATTTTGTACTGGCCATATTTTATATACAATTAAAAAAATTACTAATTATTGAATCCAAAGAACGTATACGTGTCCGGCTTTGTATAAAGTTGTTACGGAGAAATAGTAATCCAATTTGTCCTGAATCAATGGAAATTTTTTAACGATACAAAAACCAATCTAATCTTAGAGTAAAAAAAGTTTATGTAATCATGGATTATCATATGTATGAAACCTTTTTCACTATAATTCAATCACGGATTATCATATGTATGAAACCTTTTTCACTATAATTTTAAAGTTCTATTTGGTTTAGAAAAAAGAGCAAAAGAAAACCAAAATATAATTTTTTGAAATGGTTGATTGAAGATAAACCTGAGAAGTAAAATATAGAATTAAACGTATTTGATAAATAAATGGAGTTGATATGTACATTGAATCATAGTCGTCTCACATAAAATATGCATTCCAAAATAATAAAAGCAGACAGATTTGACTATGGATATAAATTTGAAGCAATTCGAACGCATGCATTCACGTTTCCCTATCATCATTGTTTGTAATGAAAACATAAGACCTCAATGAATTGCAAGACTCATGTGATCACAAATAAATAATTGTGAGCCACAGGCTCATCATATATATTAATGATAGGACATGCATGCAGTATGAACTAGGCTGCTATGCATGTAATATCAAGAATTAATTATCTAAACATCATTTTTAGAGGCAATGGGTAAAAAAATTGCTTACACTTGCACACTAATACATGGTTATGGAGTTTTTGATAGCTAAAAATTGATTAATGAATGGATTAAGGAGGGATAATACTACCTCAGTTAGTTCTTGTTTAGTTGTGCCTAAAAGAGTCTATCTCTTGGATTTGTCTCCTGCATATATAAACACAAACCATATTATCAAACCCTAGATTTTATGTGCATTTTTTAATAAGCCACAATCATAATCATATATATATCTATCCTCCCCTTATGCACTACATTGGGTCATAGTGATTCGTAGCCATCTTCATTTGACCAATCAATTGTGGGACTCGAGTCATGAGAAGCAAAATCCATTAACTAAAACACATATTAAATTGAAGTATTTGTTGCAATTACTCCCCACTCACTCATTCATTCTAGGGTGGCTAATGTATAATAATATAACAAAAGACCCCGTAAACACACACATTTCGCTTGTTTTCATTATTGAGTGGTGTCATTTGAATGCAAGAATTCTTCAATGATTGTCCACTCTTTTGAGTCGAATCTTGGAGGACCCGCATCTTGGTTTTAGGAATAAGTTTTCGTAGTTTCTTAATCTGCATAAATAAACTATAAAATGACCTAGTGACACTAATCATCCATCCACCAATTTTGTTTAATCTATATTCTATTCCTCAATTGATTACCGAATAATAGCTGACATTTGTTGATTGGTGAGTTAAGGTTGGGCAAATCTCCACCAATATATGTCAAAAAAGAAAAAGTAAAGAGAAAATTAATGGTTGGTGACACATTCCAGAAACTCAAACGAAGTTTTCAATTTGATGTAACAAATAACACAGTGTAGATTTCATTTCTTGGATGCGGAACACGTAGTATTTTGGATTGAACAAATAAAATGAGATTAGTGCCCAAGTGGTGGGCAGAATATACATAAACCAATAATCTAGTTGGTTCATGCAGATTCAAAGTGCATTTCATAGCACCGAAAGAGAAATAAAAAAAACACGATCCGTACAAAATATTTTCAATTAAATATAAATTACCACCTGAGTCCTGACAACTACTAAATATTAATTATTAGTACATCACTGCACATCATATTTGTGTGTTTTGGAAATATATCGTTTTCATTGTCGCGGAGTAATGAATTTGTAATAGATGAAGAGATTCTCGAACCTTTTCAAGTTTGATTCCTTCTTCTTCTTTTTAATTGTTTTTTGTTACATCCTTTAAAAACAGTGTTGTGACTTCAGATTTGTTACGGCAAACTCCAAGCTCATGTTTGTCTAAACTTTTTTTTCTTATCTTCCCACAGCATATATATTTCTTTTACAAAAATACCTTTGATAAAAATTAATTTCCATTTAGTACATTGATAAAATCATGGCAATATATATATATATATATATATATATATATATATATATATATATATATATATATATATATATATATATTAAACTATGTGTCTTTAAAAAATCTCAATAGAAACCAGTTTTGTTTTTTAACATTATTTTGTGAAGATATATATTGAAACTTCCTTATATGTTTGCAATGAAACTAATTTTCACCGTAGGTGAAAAAAAGAGTGTTAGAAGGGTAGAAGAACTTACAAAAAAAAAAAAAAAGTGGAAACATGAAGAAAGGGTAAAGAACCAATATGCATAATGCTAGAGTTTATTAACAAGCCCAGCACAATCTTCTTACTAGGATTGTTTATTTAATCATATAATGGAACTGAATTAAAATTTATGATTTTAATTAACTAACCTAATAAGTTAAAAAAATAGTTTTATACTAAAACTTTATATATATATATATATATATATATATATATATATATATATATATATATATATATATGATTCATATTTTTATATGATAGATTTGGAAAAAAGTTTCATAATTTCTTTTAGAAAAGATAAATAAAATAAAAATTTCATACAATTATTCATAAACTAAATTTGGTTTATGCATAACATACATAACTTAAATTTTATTTATAAAAAAATATTTTATCTTTTTTTTCTCAATAAAAATGTTTAATAAGGAAACTTTCAAAATTAAATTCAGTTCACGTTTAGTGTAATTCAAAATAATCTTCAGGTAACAACAAGATGTTTAGTCCCACACTCGTCACATTTGGATCGTGTTTAATGCTGTCAGACTCCAGTGTTATTAATGACACGTCAAATGAAACGACTAATGTAATTCACTATTATGCAATTATGCATTAACTTGTGCCAAAACGTTTATATGTGAATCCATCATTTTGTTATGAACTTGAAATAGAGCCGCTCATGCAAATAGCTTTCATGAGTAAATCATCGCAGCATAGTTTTTTTTTTTTTTTTCACCTTTCAATTTGGAGCACATCAGCATTCTATGTTCCGATCTTCAGGCCATCCAAATTCCTCCAAGAATGCCAACACAACTCCATTTGTCCAGCCGAAACCAGTCTGCATTGTAATACAGCCAGTAAGATCAGCTTGAAGTGAAACAGGAAAATGGTTGAGATGTCATTTATTTTTTTCTTTCAAAAATAAGAAGTCAAATAACATCCATGCAGTCTGTTCTAGCTAAAAGTCCAAGGACAAAATATGAGACTCAACCAAAATATTAAGTGTATGTTGTCCAGTTATGTGGTATCTTAGGTCCTATTTAAAGACCTAAAAATAATTAATTCTAAACCTTCTGTAGATAGTGGATCTTACG